CAACAATTTCTTCGGTAGTGGTAATTGGATCGAAACCAGAGACCCAAATTGCCTTTTTGAACACCGGCTTTTCGACTCGTTTTGGCTTGGCCACAACACTGAGACGATGTGTGGCTGACTTTGTGCCCATTTTTGGCGATGGAGCATCGAAATCACGAGATTTTGACTTCTGTGGCAATATATTCGGTGAGATGTCGGTACGTGGTCGTTTTGCAGAATTTATCGGGTTATTTTGAACAACACTGGCAAATGAATTACGGAAAAATTGTTGTTTCTGTGTATTTACCTGTGATTTCAAGTTTTTCGACGGTTTTATTATGTTCGGTGTGTTTTCGTTCGGGTTCAAAAGAGCCGGTCGGAGCACTTTACTCGCTATCACTTTTGTTGCATTGAATGATTTGTCAATATTGAACATACTCTACACACATGGGGAAACAGAGATGGCGTTGTCGTAGCATGTAGCAAAATATATGTTTAACGCAATATTCGGCTTTTTTTTCTTAATTAAATAACCATTATCAGAAGTCAAGTATAACTGGCTTGACTAACATCAAATAAATATGTATTTTAACATGTACAACATCATAAATACATGAAACATTTATAGTGAATTTTCTCACTTTTCCGTTATTTACTTATTACAGTTTATGAAAAATATTAGATTGAAAAATAGAATGCTCAACCGATCTACTCTACGTGTTGCTTTTTGCATTTAAGTAATTCATTTGTTCATTTTATGTCTTCTTATTCTTCGTTTTTGTGCAAAACCTATGCAACTATAAAAACATTTTTATTAATTATTATGTGACTATTTGCTTCTGCCACACGATATAAATGATTTTTTTTTCTGTGACAGTCACTCAAGTACAGTTCCAATCGAGACCAGTATGTTGATTCTATTAGATCAGTTTTGTGTTTGTATTATACTGATATAAACTGTAAACTGAACCCTCCCTCCAGAGAGTGATCCTCATAATAAAGAAGTGCAAAAAGCAAAAACACATTTCATTAATGGCTGATGATGTTCGTATGCATTGTACTTTGAAATAGTGCCGTTGTTGTTCGCTTGGTTGGTGCTCAATGTTGTGCAGTTAACGTCAAAAACTTGTTCAATTTTCACGTAATTGAAATTAATTAATGTGTTAGTGTGTAAGAATATATTCAAGCCAATGGATGATGATACGACCAATTGCGTGAACAATCTCTCTCCACATGTTTTTCACGATGCACACGAATGTTTCGGGAAAAATTTCTGTTGAGTGTGCAATCAATTTTGAAAAAAAAAATGTAAAAGAAAAAGAGAGAGAGAGGGAAAACAGCATTAACAATGGCGACAGAATATTGAATACGATGCGCATCATCACGTTAGGCATCGGGTCTGTTGGCAACATCAAAATTAAAAACATGTCGCTTTAGTCGGTCTTCTGTGTATGTTCGCTTTCCGATGTTATGATAGTAATCATTAAGTTTTCGATCCAATGTGCTAAAATCGAGTTCATCGTTACTCGCTCTTCCATTAATAGAGATTGTATTGGGGGCAAAAAGTAAATAAATAGTAATAATAAATTCATGCGAAACACAAGCTCGATGCAACACATATACAAGAGAATAATGTGGAGTAATGAGAACATCATGCATTTAATAAGTGGCTTTTGGTCGACATGTTACTCGACCATTTTTTTTGTCTCTTTTCAAGATAACAGGCGGGTAGATAAGTCTTTGTCCTAACTAAGAAAAAAACATTTTTTTGGCAAAATTCAATTTTATTATTCAACATAGTTGCCTTCGAGGGCGATACAGCGATTATAGCGTTCTTCCAACTTTTCGATACCATTTTCATAGTACGATTTGTCTTTAGCCTCAAAATAGGCCTCAGTTTTGGCAATCACTTCATCATTTGTCTTAAATTTCTTGCCAGCGAGCATCCTCTTGAGGTCTGCGAACAGGAAATAGTCGCTGGGGGCCAGATCTGGAGAATACGGTGGATGGGGAACGTACCGAAATTATGCTCAAAGTGTCACACAGCTAGCGCCACGACGGAATTCAATGTAATCTATACTAAGTTGCCGCCAACTAGTGAAAAGACTTTTGCTCAGTTACAAACAACTGACTAGAACTCCATAGTTGTCCGTAGTGGCGCTAGCTGTGCTATAGTTTTGCATTTTATACAGTCTCTTATGGAACATAATTGCAGTGTGATGGGGAAGCAATTCGAAACCCAATTCATGCAATTTTGCCATCGTTTTCATTGATTTGTGGCACGGTGCATTGTCTTGGTGAAACAACACTTTCTTCTTCTTCAAATGTGGCCGTTTTTTCGCGATTTCGTTCTTCAAACGCTCCAATAACGCTATATATTAGTCGCTATTGATAGTCTGGCCCTTTTTAAGATAGTCAATGAATATTATACCATGCGCATCCCAAAATACTGATGCCATAACCTTGCCAGCCGACTGCTGCGTCTTTCCACGCTTTGGATTGGATTCGTCGCGTGCAGTCCACTCCGCTGACTGTCGATTGGACTCTGGAGTGTAGTGATGGAGCCATGTTTCATCCATTGTCTCATATCGGCGCAAAAATTCGATTTTATTGCTGTTAAACAGCTTCAAACATTGCTCCGAATCATCAACTCGTTGTTGTTTTTGATCGATTGTGAGCTCACGCGGCACCCACTTTGCACAGAGCTTCCGCATGTCCAAATATTCATGCACGATATGTCCAACACGCTCTTTCGATATCTTCAGAGTCTCAGCTAACAGGCCGGCTGAAAAGTTCGTAGGCTGACACATAGATGGCGTTACTAGAATTAAATCCATATGATTTTTAATTAGTGCCAACCTTCAAAAGATATGTGTCAAAATTTGACAGCAATCGGACCATTGGTTCGTGAGTTATTGCATTGAGAGTGAAGCAACTTTTGTTATTGTGAAAAAAATGGATAAAAGAGAATTTCGTGTGTTGATGAAGCATTGCTTTTTGGTGAAAAAAAATACTGTTGAAGCCAAGGTTTGGCTTGATAAGTATTATTTGGACTCTGCACTAGGGAAATCAACCATTGAGAAGTGGTTTGCTAAATTTAAACGAGGCGAAATGAGCACTGAAGACGATGCGCGCAGTGGACGGCCAAAAGAGGCTGTTACCGACGAAAACATCAAAAAAATCCACAAAATAATTTTGAATGATCGTAAAGTGAAGTTAAGCGATATAGCTGAGACCCTAAAGATATCAAAGGAACGTGTTGGACATATCGTGCATGAATATTTGGACATGCGAAAGCTGTTTGCAAAGTGGGTGCCGCGCGTGCTCACAATCGATCAAAAGCAACAACGTGTTGATGATTCGGAGCAATGTTTGGAGCTGTTCAACCGTAATAAAGACGAATTTTTCCGACGATATGTGACAATGGATGAAACATGGCTCCATCACCACACTCCGGAGTCCAATCGACAGTCAGCCGAGTGGACTGCACACGGTGAACCGAATCCAAAGCGTGGAAAAACGCAACAGTCGGCTGGCAAGGTTATGGAGTCTGTATTTTGGGATGCGCACGGTATCATATTCATCGATTACCTCCAAAGGGGCCGGACCATCAACAGCGACTACTACATAGCGTTATTGGAGCGTTTGAAGGATGAGATCACAAAAAAACGGCCCCATTTGAAAAAGAAAAAAGTGCTGTTTCATCAAGACAATGCACCGTGTCACAAATCAATGAAAACGATAGCAAAATTGCATGAATTGGGTTTTGAATTGCTTCCCCATCCACCGTATTCTCCAGATCTGGCCCCCAGCGACTATTTCCTGTTCGCAGACCTCAAAAGAATGCTCGCGGGAAATTTTTTTAGCGCTGATGAAGAAGTAATCGCTGAAACAGAGGCCTATTTTGAGGGTAAAGAGAAATCGTACTATAAAAATGGTATCGAAAAGTTGGAAAATCGTTGGAATCGCTGTATCGCCCTCGAAGGCATGTATGTTGAATAATAAAACCGAATTTTGCCAAAAAAATGTGTTTTACTATGTTAGCCTACGAACTTTTCAGCCGGCCTGTTATCTCGATCAACTTCACTTTACGGTCATTTAAAATTATTTTGTGGATTTTTTTGATGTTTTCTGGCGTAACCACCTCTTTTGGACGTCCACTGCGTTGTGCATCGTCTGTGTCTGTACGACCACGTTTAAATTCACGAAACCAATATTTTATATTTGATTGTGCTGGCGCAGAGTCCGGGTAACATTTATCAAGCCATTGTTTGGTTTGCACAGTATTTTTTCCCATCAAAAAACAGTGTTTTATTAACACACGAAATTCGTCTTTTTCCATTTTTTTCACAATAACAAAAGTTCACTCAAAACGCTATATCTCACGAACCAATCGACCGATTGCTGTCAAATTTTGACACGTATCGTTTGAAGGTTCGTACTAACTAAAAATCTTAGCAAAAAAATCCAGTGACGCCATCTATATGTTAGGGCAAAGACTTATCTACCCACCTGTTATAATGATAAATGAGCGAAGTGAACACTTGAATAGCAACCAAACACACACATATGTATATATATATAAAATACTGCGCGAAAGAGTTTATGTGTGACAGCAACGGACGGCGTCATTGTCTCGATCTTCACAGTTCTGATAGATTTGCTAACAAGTAGTACTAGATAAGGAAATAAAGAAAAAGATATCTGTAGACGTCATAATATTGTAAGAGATATAGGCAATACAAGTATTTTGTCAATAGGGCTTCAATCTGAACAAACTCTCTCTAGCTTATTCATTGTCTTCGATAATTTTTGTTTGCAAAGTAGGCTTTTCGATAAAATCGCCAATTTCGTTTGTTGGTTTAGTAGTTAGCATTAAAATTGCAAAACTCTACTTTATTGTATAATATGCTTATTTTTATTTTTTTCGTTCTCTTTTCTCTTGCATATCGTTTGGCTTTCTTTCTTCAAATCCGCGTTTGCTGCATTCACGCTTGGACAACTCTACGCGGCTTCTAAAGCAGAAGAATAGCATCACTTCAATTAGACCCAAACACAGTTTCAACTTTCGAATTGTATCTCACCTTGAAGCAGGATCGAAGTGGATGGACGTCAATTCTGCCACAATTTTTAAAGTAAGCGCACTGCAATTATGTTCCATAAGAGACTGTATAAAATGCAAAACTATAGCACAGCTAGCGCCACTACGGACAACTATGGAGTTCTAGGCAGTTGTTTGTAACTGAGCAAAAGTCTTTTCACTAGTTGGCGGCAACTTAGTATAGATTGCATTGAATTCCATCGTGGCGCTAGCTGTGTGACACTTTGAGCATAATTTCGGTACGAAAGTAAGTGTTAAAATCTCAAAATGAACAAAAAAAAATATCAACATTATTTATTATTATTTTCTATTAAGTGTCTCTCAAGCACGAACCCAAATCGAAATAAAGCGTTAATTTGTATATATCTCACAGAGCTGCAGAAAATGCAAACCTTACAAACAATAAAATGTCTTACATCCGTAAGATGAACTTTTCTGCACTGTGATCCACAACATGCATTTATTTCGTATCTTTTACCGTAAATATGAATTCATGAGAAAACTGAATCTGATATAAGTTTTGCGATACAAATAATTTTTGTTGGACTTTTCAATGCCTGTATGATATCGTTATCATGTGAAAATTTGCAGATGTTATTTTTTTCACAAAAAGCTAACATTCTGAAAGTTTGAAGAAATTTCAATACAATTGAGTGGTACCTTCCATACAAAATTTTCGTTTTTGAGCAAAAAATCCAAAATTTTGTTCGGGAGGTACCCTTATTATGCATTGAAATCTCTTCAAACCCTCGAAATGTTATTTTTGTATGAAAAAAATAACCTTTACAAAGTTTCAGCTCATTACGATATCATATAGGCATGGCTTTCGTACAAAAATCCAAAATTTTTGAAATTTTTGTATGAAAAGAGTGTCGAAATTTTTTTGTATCGCATTTTTGTTTAAAGTGATTCTATGTTGTGAGTAGTAATCCATATTAATCCATAGTACACAGAAAAAAATAAATCGGTAAATATTTACTGACTGCGTTAAATTCCATAGGC